AATTACCAAGTACATTTACAGCATAAGCCTTCAAGGTTGAAAGCTGTTTTAATACTGCCTTCTAGAATTAGTGCTTTAAAATAAAATCTGTGCCCCAGACAATTACTTAATAAGATAAGTTTAAATTGTTTTTTTCTCTCCTGGACAGAATACAGTAATTGAAACAAAAAGGTCATTAAAGTTCAAACAAGCTAGCTCTTCTTCCCCTCAACCCATCTTGTGAAAAACATCAAATTTTATCATGATCTTCCAAGTCCAGAAGTTCTGAAATAAAAGATTCATTTTCTTTCCTATACATACCTCCTCATTTAAAAATATAGTCTGTTAAGGTAATTTTTTTCAAGAACTCTGTAACTGTTTTCAGCCTTTTCTTTATTAAAAAATCTATGTAATTGTACCATCTCTCCATACATTTTGTTATTAATATCAATACAGTAGGGTGTGTTTGTAGGGGATGTTTGTTTCTTCTTTAGTCTTCTGTCCACTTTCAGCAAAATCAGACACAGATCAACACTCCAGTGTTGTGCAAAGCAACAGCTGGCTAGACTTGAAAGTCACCATGGAAACACAAATGAAGAACAGCCATAGCAGTCTCAACAGTTGTACTTTTCAGACGCAAAATTACTAGCGAGTTTAGGGAAGGGGATAAACTTAGTCTCTAGTATATATTTGGGGTGGAGCATGGATATGGAAGGGTCTTGTACAGATGAATTAATAGCAGAGAGAGGTATGCTGTGATTATTCAAAGAGCAGAGGACGGGCGAAATGGAATATAGGAGTCTAGAAAATCAAGCTTCTTTAGTTCTGCTGCTTGAGAAACTTTTTAATACTGCTGGTAATTTTCCTACGGTGCATGTGTGTCTAGAAACGAAAGATTAATGCAGAAAATTTTTATAGCCAATTTAGAGCCAGACATAGATGTATTGATTAATTTATAGAACGAAACAAATCTGTGTCTCTGGAGTATTTACTGGGTTTACTACCTAAAAAGGTGAAGCCTAGAAGCAAAAACAAAAAGAAAAGGGGAGAAAGGAAGTAGTTGTGTCTTGTTCAAGGACACACTCTGGCTTCATCTGATCCATCCAGACTTCCCATCAAATAGATTAGCAGCAATACACTATTCTAAGTTAGAATTAATCACCTTTTCATTTTCTAACTCTATTGAAATTGAAGGAGACAGTTTCATATCAAGTTATAAAACACAGCAGGTATTTTTAAATAGAAAAATAAGATAATGCAAAATAACAGCCTCCCCTAAGGCAAATTTTCATAGTTTAAATGCTCTAAAGTGCTACACTCTGGATGTTCAGGAACAAATCATGAGATTCTAATGAAACTTACTGCATGGCCTAGCTTAAATCTGGGAGGCAATTATGGTTTGAAAATCTGTTTCCCAAGATAAATCCACATGGGAAGTCTTACGTGGATTTTCATGAGACTATGCAAAAGATGAGTATCTATCTGATGTCTTCCCTTAATTTATTTGTAACCTGAATACCTTTTTCCTTTTTTGCAACATCAGGAGAGGGTGCTGAAGTAGATAAATCATTTTGCTATATATTCAAGGGAGTGTAGTGTTCTACTTCAATTCCAGAGACTGCTTTTTTAAAAGAACAGTAATAGAGAATTTCTGCATGTTCTTACAGTGCTGCCTTTCCCTTCATTAGTTATTTCACTAAAACAGTTTTCTGGAGTTGCAAAAACACATAAGGATATACCTGCACCATGTAATTTGCAAAGAAAATAAAATTTAAATGTAAAAAAATTGCCTATAACAGGACCTATAAATATATGTAATGACCTGAAGAAATTCCAGAAAAGTACAGAGAATATTTTTTAAGTTTTATTGTTCACTGCAATAGAATATTTCATATTTTTATGTACCAATATACCAAGCACAGCTTTTTCAGTGCTGAAAAGCATATAACTCACTAGCAGTACAATTCCTACTGTGTGTCAGAATATTTTTGAGCACAGATTCCCCAATTATTCATAAAGTCAATTTGCAGGAATGCCTTAAAACATGACACAAAATTGGCCCTACTGATTCCATGTGAAGAATGTGTCAAATGTGCTGTGGCTTCAGAGAGGTTCCCTTGGAGCTGTGGCTGCGAGGTTTCCCATGCTGACAGTGGGAAAAACCTACACTCAGGAATGCCAACAGCTGGAATGCACTGACTTTGTTAACATATCTCTCTGAAAAGAGAGAGTTTAGGCTGCATCACTCATGTTGCTATGTCATGTCCCGGTATGGACAACCTCTAAAAAAGCTTCTCTGTCAGTTAAAACATTACAACAGTGCTCATTTATAATGGTTTCACTTGGTTAAGAAAGGCAAGCCAGGGTGATTCAGTGATCAGGAGACTGCCATGTACATGGAGTAGAAAGGGATCCCAAGCCTCCCCTTTTGCTGGAAATTTCACAAAGCAAATCTGCCTCTGTACAAGCTTTGGAGTGCCTTGATGGCATTTCAGAGATAACAGGAAAAGGAAAAATACTAGCTGAAGGTTTAAACAAGGCAAGAGTCATACATATAGGCCAAAGATGGCCAACAAGGAAACTAATTCTTTGCATACACAGGGTCAAGAAGGCTGCTTTTTCATGGTGAACATAATAATTTTGTCAAAAACATATGTAATCTTTAGAGTAGCAGTTTGCCTGCTTATGATGCAAAGCCTAATTAGGTGCAGCATAGCACTACAACTTTGGATTGATTTTACGGAGAAAATTGGTAAGTGTGAGAAAATACCTAAGTTTTGCAAAATAAGAACGGTAAAAACATAGATAGGAGTAGTAGCACCTCAGAGACTCAGTAAGAAACTACTGAAAGAAAAACATATAAAAAAAAAAAAAGAGTCTTCCTAGGAAGACAATCTGTATGATCAAGTATTTTAGTTTCATTGGTTTTCAGTCCTGGAAATTAATCAAAAGAAAACACAGATTGCGCATACAGAATTGATGAAAGAAAAAAATCAGATGCAAATAAACATAGAAATGAAGAACGAAGTCTTAAAATCTAGCATTTTGAGGCCTGAGTACCTGAATAAAATTTATGCCATTTCTTAGATGAAATTAGTTTAAAAGCCAAGTTAATCATAATCATCATGGACTGTACATGACATCAGAAGAAAGCTAAAATGCTTTCTCAAACATTGTTGAATAAAATATGAAACTATAATAGCAACATGTTTCCAAAGTGCAAACATAGAATTTTTACATATCAAATTTGATTGCCATCAAAGTGGTTTAACACTGCAGGCAGCTTTTTGGAAAATGTCTCCTAATAGCATATATATTTATGGAATATATTTTATCTTTTCTTCCTAAGTGCTTCGGAGAGTTAATACATGTATTTGACATTAAAACAAAGTTAGAAGGCAAAATTAAACAGCTAAGCTTAGAGATCAAGTAAAAACAGAAAAGAGATGAACATGCAAAAGGTGACATAACAGCTATAAAATACAAAAGTTTCTATATATAGAACTCGTGATGAAATATGAAGAGAGATACCTAAAAGACTAGGTTCAGCTAATTGCCCAGTGTACTGTTGCTGCTTGACGCTACACCAGGTCGTTCACAACAGACAGGCTATTGACTACCTGAAACATAATCCATAAAATGCAACGACTGAAGGTTGAATGCAAAATGAGATCACAGCTTCAGATTAGGACTGGTAGTAATGCAATTTGGTGCTACTGGAAAACAGTATCGGGCAGTCAGAAGACTTGTGTGGCTACTGTGAAGCCAAGGCAGGAAAAAAGGATAGTCTACTGTGAGTAGCAATTTCAAAGCATGGCTAGTATTTTGGCTTTTTTGTAAAAGTATGAAGAAAAAAATATTCCAAGATTCTCAGCCTCACTATTTCAGAATTTCTTCCTTTTTTTAGAGTCAGTGATGGAAAAAAACAGAGTAATTAAATAGCAGCAATCACACTTTCTCCACCAGCATCAATGTTGCTTATAAAATGATCTAGCAAATATATTCCAGCAAGTCTCCTAAGAAGAATATTTGGTTCCAACACATTTTCAAAGAATCCCTTCTTCATTACAGGGAATAGTGATAAAGCAGCAACACCTGCATTAATCCACACTTCATCTACTGTCATGTGTAAGGAAGAAGAGCTACAAAGTCTATCCATAAAAAAGATTTTTAATGTGACTAAAAAAAAAAAATCTTATGAGAACAGTTACAATTTTTATATATTGCAGTATAAAATATACATACAGAAAATAGTATGATATTCAGATCAATTCTTACATCATCTTTTTCTCCTAAATTCTTCTTTCTATATCACCCAAAAATATTGTTCAGGCATAGTAAACTTCAAGGAGAGAAAGCAGAAACAGTTCCTTGCTGGGAACAGCAAGGCCTGCAACATTCTTCACAAAATAAAGTTTTGGCAAGTACATCTTCAGGAAAATCACAGTGAATGACAAATTTTCAAATGAAATTGAAAACAAGTAACCCTCATTTTCCTAATTCAGGTCTTTCATTTGGGCAGATACTATTTCTTCAAGGAAAATGATACAGCTTATTCTAATACCTGTATTAACATGAAATTGATGACCACACATACTTTTAAGAAGCTTCCCAATTTAAATATAATTAAGAATTTTATGTTAGTAAACAGTTAATGCTTTTCTACCTAGTATTTCATAAGATTCTTTATAGTGGTGTTGCTTATCTTGACAGTCCTAAAATACAACTATATATATTTGGATTTAATCTCTTAATTCAAAGACTTTCCTAGGAATCCATCAAGACTGAATCACTCATTCACCCTTTAATTTTACTGCATGTATCTCTAACTATTATTTACTTTATTCTTTAAGTGAGACAAAAAAAACATCACTGACATGGATTCTTGTTTTCACAAGCAGCCAGATTCAGCTGATGAGTTGCACTCATCAAAACACTGAATTTCACAAACTTTGGATATCAGGACCATAAAAAATAATACCATGTGAAAACTTCAAAAGAGAACTCAAGAAATTACATACCTTGTGGTTGTTTAAACAGAAGACAGAAAGCAGATTCCTTACTGGGGGACTTCAACAGGGCAGATGAACTGAGTTGACAACTGGACTGCTCTTGATCTAGAAAAGAAATAAAAGTCAGTGAAATACATTTTGAAGTAAAAACCCGATTGAACAATTTCCCTAATAAAACAGCTTCTTAGACAGACATTTTACCAAACACATTCTCAAATGGGAGCAAATGGGACTTTCCAAAGTTTAAAATATCTGTTATTCATCTTTTCTTTGTGTCCACCTACATATTCAGCTAAATAAAATTTTCACAGAACTAGCTAACTAATCTCTGAAAAACAATGTCACTTCATAAAATGAAAAACACTAGGTTATGCTTTGTGCTAACACTGACTTAAATATATGAAATAATGCTTATGTCCAGTGTATTTTGCCTGAGAGAAAAAAATTGTTAGTAGCAGATTTGCCTTTGATAATTTAGTTCTGTTACATAAAAAAGTCAGAGAAAGCAGTCTGAAAAGATTTTGCAGTGCACATTTAACAAGGGGCATTCCTACTTTGGAAATCTTTTTATGGAAAAAGGCATGGCCAAGCTACAGTGCATGCAGTCTTATCTGAGAAATAAGGTGAGTTTTAACAATCAACAATATAAGCCAGCTATTTCAGTATAACTGTGCATATAACCTTACCAAAAGCAATCTTATACATTGCCACAGATACCAGTTTTGATAAACCAGATAACACTGGATTTAAGACAGAAACCAATTTACCTCCCTTATCCAATTTCTAACCACTACTGTAGCTTTAATCTTTTATTTGACCATTTCCCTCCAAACTTTGAAGTGAATATCCTCTAAAAAAAATTACACATTTTTCCAGAAACATCAAAATACATTTGGCCATTGAAAACTTGAAATCAAATTATCCACATAAACTGAAATAAAGCATGACAGTTATTAACAAACCACTAATAGTTAGGGTCAATTCTTATACATGTAAAATTATACAGGTAAATTCTCTGGGGTCTGGTTTATGGTGGAGATTTCAGTAGTACCAATGATCTATATTGGTTTAGTTGTTCCATAAAGTCTTAGTAACAATATTATATAGTGTTATTTACAGAAGAGCAGTAACTTTCAGCTTGAAACAGCCGAAATAGTACAAGTGCTTTTTAAATGATCTGTAACGAGTGTTCGTGTACTCTGTAGTTCTGATCATTGGCTCATATTGGGGAAAATGAACTACTGTTAAATGAACATTACTCTCAAGAATATTCTTAGTATAGCTATGAAGGCTTACGTGAATAAGAGCTGCAGATTTAAGCCACAGATGTGTATCTAAGTCCTGGGAAGAAAATTTATTGCTATTAAAATCAGCCAGAAAACATCAAGTTTTAAGAGGTCCAAGATTTCATCTGTGCATCACAAAGTAACAGATGGTGGGTAGTTTTACTTGCTCTATAATTATTCAAAACAAAGGACTGTTTGTGCTACAGTATCAGTCAAAATTCACAGAAAGAAACATTTCTGAGGAATAATGGGTTTGACAAAGTTTCAGAAATGCAAATGGCAGCTTCAGAAATGGTCCAGATATGACAATTCCCAACTAATTTCTATTTTAATTCCTAAACTATGCAATTCTAAACATAATTTCACAACTGTCTAGGGCAGAAACTGCCTATCAAAACGTTACTTGAAAACAAGATACAGAAAACTTCTGTAATCTTCTTTAACGCATTAGGTGAATCTATAAATGTTGATGTTTATTACTTGTACACTTTAATCAAGATGTCCTATTTTCATTGTTGCAACTTCTAATTCTCTTAAGAGACACATGGTCTGAAACACAATTTGTAAAGACCAAGATCAATCTAACATTTCATTCTCTCTCCTGACTTGCTACTTTCTGTCAATTTCCCCAATCCGCCTTCTCGATGGCCTCCAATAACACCAGCAATGATCGTGATGAGTCCAGTGCAATACTAAGTAAAGGAAGGCATTCCGCTAACTTGCTTTAATGTTAAAATATCAGCTAAGAGGTTTCAAAATGGTAGTAGCTTTGGGTTTATATTACTAAAACTACAAGTTTAAGAACTATTCTCGGAGATAGATTCAAAAATTTCTGTGAAGTTGAGTTACCTGCTGACAGGAACAATTCTACTTTTTGGATTAATATTTTTCAGGAAAAAAACAGGTTTTAAGAATGACTAGGCTGTCACTCTTTAAGGAATAAATTAAGAGTATGATGATGATAAAGGGGCTTAAGCACCGCCTGCATAAAAACAGGCTGAGAAAATTGAGGCTATTCAGCCTGGAGAAGGCTGTGTGGAGACCTCCTAGCAGCCTTCCAGTATCTGAAGGGGGCCTACAAAGGTGCAGTAGAAGGACTTTTCATCAGGGGCTGTAGCGACAGGACAAGGAGCAATAGGTTTAAACTTAAACAGGGGAAGTTCCGGTTAGATATAAGGAAGAAGTTCTTTACTGTGAGGGTGGTGAGACATTGGAAGAGGTTGCCCAAAGAAGTAATAAATGCTCCATCCCTGGCCATGTTCAAGGCCAGGTTGGATAGAGTGTTGGGCAATATAGTCTAGGGTGAGGTGTCCCTGCTCATGGCAGGGGGGTTGGAACTAGATGATCTTAAGATACTTTCCAACCATAACCATTCTGTCATTCTGTGATTTCAGACTAAAATATTTGTGTTTAACTAATTCAGATAGAAGGTTCCTACTGTTATGTCAAGTAATATTACAGTCATTGCTAATTAGCTTTTTCTTTTCTGAGTGTGTTCTTGCACTGCCGTGAGAGAAACTAGAACAAAAGTAGGTTCTTCATGTCAAAACACATTAAACTAACACATAGCTCATCATAACATGGATAAAAGATCCAGTCTTCTCCATAATATAGGACTGTAAATGGCCTTGAAATAACGTTCTGGTTTGAACAGCTCAAACTGATACAAGCAAAATAGACCGGGGAAAGCAAACAAACAGTAGTTAACAAAAAAAAAAAACAAAAAAAAAAAACAAAACAAACCAACAACAACAACAAAAGGAGTTTGTAAAAAAGCAAGTTCACAACTCACGACTACCAACAGTTCAGTTCTTGATAGGACAGGAAGGGTACTATGAATAATATATTCACAGTTGGATAACTTTCTGACCAGCCTGATTAGTCTCATGGGATGGCAAATTCATTCCTAATGTTGCAAAACCCCAAATTGATTAGCTTTTACTGTACACTGGGCTAACATATGTGCATTGCTGTGGTATATACAATATAAAAGTTAGTATACTAAAATACTATCTGCTTCCATCTGAGGTAAACTATGTCTTGATAACAATCAGCTAAATATATAGGTCTTTATGGAAATTATTTCCCATCATATATAAGGGCCAGAAATACTAAGCTGAAGTTGTGCATCCTTGACTTTGCTTATAATACTAGATTTCCTCTGGGAAGAAGGAAATAGGAATTACAGTAAATATTAGAACAGAGAGCAAATCATAGCATGTATGAACATGTCTAAAGACAGTCTGAATGCATAACTAAACTATCTTATTGTGATTAAAACCAAGCAAACATAATATACAGGTCACCAGCAGCAACTGGATGAGAAAAGTAACATTAAATATTAAACTGATTAACAAATTCAAGACAGCTTTTAAAGGACAGTATGGTATTACTTCCATAAAGATCACAGTACAAAATTAATTTATCTCAAAGAAAACTTTCCATAATCCCATAGACAGCAAAAACATTAGGTCATCATCATATCAGGTCTACTGATGTGTACAGAAAAATGAAAGCTGGCAACTTCTGATGCATAAAACCCAACATCAGTCTTTCACTAAGCCAGTTGCCTCTTCACTGTCCCTTTTCCAATATGAATGTCACTTTTGAGCATTCTGTATGTGCTGGACATGACTGTTCTGCACTCTGCCAGGTCCCCTACTCAGCACGTAAAAGCTGGCACTGTCCCTGAGAACTTAGCCATGATTCACTTAGTGTGTAAACACTGGATCCACTGCAAACTGTTTCTTCCTTCACTGTTGTCCACATGAGAACATCAACAGAAACTCAGAAGTGGTCTTATCATTTACAAATAGAATTCTATTTTGTGATAACCGAGAATGAAAATATATCAGCAGTTACACATGGGAAACTGTAGTGAAGTACTTAGGTCAGCAAAAGCATAGAGAATTCAGTCATGAGAATAAAATGCTCTTGACCAGACACTATTCAGGTAAAAGAATCAGCAAAATCCCCCGCATATTAACTCCATATGCAGCTAAAGCTGTATTTCTGTATTTCCGATTTATATCTCTGAAGCTGTAATTAAAAAGCATGAGTTCCATTCAACAAATAAACATGAATCTCAATTTTTTAAAGTCACCTTTCTTCACTTATGTGCCACAAACCCCAAATCACATCATGAGTGTGTAAACCTGACTTAAAACTTACCTTTGCGCAGGCTTGAATTTGCTATTCTCTTATGTTACTCCATCTACTGACTTGGTGTCAGGGGCCACTGGAATGTTTATCTTCAATTTTTGCTATATGAAGGTGCCAGAAAATGGTTTGGCACCTGTTTTTTAATTCTACATGTTAGGCTGAACTAGGTGGAGATTCACAGACCTTCTAGAGCTCTCTGCTTCTCTCAGAGTGAAATTTATTCTTTCACTGAGTAAATCTCAGTCATCAAGGAGAACCTGGGACTTCAGACTTGAGTTCTACAGCGTTTGTGAAATCTCAGTATGATTTGGCGATCTTTGATAATTCTAGATTTTATTTTTTAAAGTATGCTTGAAAATATTGCCGAAACATACTTCCCTGGAAGGTCAATCGGAAAAAAAGCCTCAAATGTTTTGCCCTTAGGAACTCCTTTAGCTGATAAAATAAAATATTTTGGAAAATAACTGACCAAACAACACATTACAACAAATTGTTTGGAACAACAAGTTGTTTGGAAAACAACTGACCAAAACAACACATTAGCTATTTGGCTTAGACATACAGCTCCCAAAACAGACCCAGGAGACCCCTACTGCCTGAATGCTACAGTGCAGTACATGGGCAATAACCAGCTTCATGTAGACATGAGACTGTTTGACCTAAGAGTTCTACTGTGAACAGTTTTTAAAGGGTTGTGTTATTTCTTAGCTGACACAGCACTGTCTAACAGAGCTTTCCAGGGTAGATGTGAATGATACACAATATCTCCATTGCCAGGAAATGAAACGAGGCAAATGTAACCACATCCCACTCACACTTCTAATGCAACTCAAGGAGTTTAAGTTCCTTTCCTCACCCCCAAAAAAATCCAAACCTCTGTACCTGTCAGCGTGACATCTACCACCACGTTTTCAGGAGTTGGATTTTTGAAGGATATCATGACAGAAGAACGCTGGCCAATACATGCACTTATGCTGGTTGGTTCCATCAGCTGAGGAGGAAGACCAGTCCCCGAAAGGTTAAATATCCACTCTGTAAGCTGTAGATGAAACGTCCTTATTTACTATTTGACAAGTTAGATCTGTACATTTTAAGGCATTTTGCCTACTTCTTCCTTCAAGTGTTCTATGTCTCTCTTCTGTTGTAAGTGAACTGCTGTTAAATGCTTGCTTTGCTTGCTTGCTTGCTTGCTTCTTCCAGCAAGCTGCTATGTTACTCTTAAGTATTGCTACCCCATACTGGGAGATGTTCCCATCTTCTCTTTGCATTATCTTTTGGGCTACACCGAGTACAGAGTATTTAACTTCTAAGCTACTCAGAGCTTCCAGTCAAGTGAATGAAATATGTAGGTGGTTGCAAGAGGGCAATTCAAAGCACATATATTAGAACCTGAAAGCAGACGAATTGAGAAGTTCTTTTCAGAAGATAAGTGAATAAGAAAAATAGTTCTTTGATTGGACAGCAGAGAATCATACAGAAAGCTAAAATTGTTACTCCAAAGATAATAAAGAACATTAACCACTATGCACAGAAGAATCTATAATATTGAAAAGAGCTAGCAGAAATAGAGTACCACCACAAAGCATAAAAAAAAGAAAATATAATCTTTATGTGTTTATTTTGATCATTTTTTTTTTCAGCACAAGAGTAAGGAGTTGCCTGCACTACACTTACTTACTCCTTTAAGATTATAAAGAGTGATGTTAATAATGCCACTCACTGTGGAACCTTTAAAGCTGAATGAGCAGCAAAGTTGAATGGTAAATACAAAGGTAATATTATTTTAAGAAAAACGTTTAATTTGTACATTCATGTTGCTGCCTTTAAATAAGAACTGACTAAAATGTTATGCTTATTACAAACTGCTCAAAAAGTGGCCCTTTGGTCTGTTTTGTTCATTATAACTCAAAAAGGTATACATCATAAGCAGAATAGAAATTCAAACCACTACTTCCATTATCTGAAATACTGCATTTACTTCTGCACAGCCTGTCTGAAATAATTAGGGAAAATCCGTGATAGACAGGGTTCAAAAATCTAACAACAAATATGGAAATATTTAAAATAAAAAGTGACTAATATATTAAGACTTCTCAGCATAAACAGGGATAAATAAAATGTCACATCATACGTCTTCAGAAAATAGCTTTGGACAGCAAAATTGAATGCCTTTATTATCATATTATAGAGGAACATTCAATCCAACAAGAAAAAAGACATTTTAGTCTTACTGAAGAAAATTATTTGGTAGAAGTCATCCAAGGCTACAAGGTTACAAAAAAATAAAAATAAAAAGAGGAAAACCTGTTTATATACTGATGTAGAGAAAAGACTATATAATACTAAAATTCAGAATATAAAAATAGGGCCTATGTTTTGTTTAGGATTTAGACTAGACAGTGATTTATATTACCTGATTTGCAGGGAGTTCTGCATTTCTCAGTCTAGTAAAAATTGAAAACTACCTCCCTTTAAAATTACATTTTATTTCATTGTTGACTTAAACATGGCCTATAGCCTGTTTATTGTTACAAACTCATGAGCAGGAAGCTAACACCACTCACTATTCAGATTCTGTCAGGAAGGTGAATGCTGCCACTGTACAAACTTTGAAGCAACAGAGGGACTAACTCCTTGGTGAAACCCCTTTGCTGGTAGTAACCGACAAGAAACTGCCCAGCAGTTGCCAAGCCAGCATACCATAGCATTTGTGTTCCTGACTTGTTCTTCCTTCCCACATTGGCTTCAAAAAGTTAAATATAAACAATAGGCTGAGCACACTTTGCAGGCTTATTTTGAAGGACTGGAACACAGGCATGAGCATGCCAGAAGATCATGTTTTCAGAAAGCTGCACGTGTCAAGCAGTTAGTGGTTACACTGGCCAGTCATTGCTACTTTGTGCTTGCTTACACACGCGGCAACAATATATACATATATGTATTTCTGCAAATCTCTTAATACATAAGTTATGAGGCAATATTAGTATAACAGTGCTTTCCAAACCCTCTGTAAATCTGTGTGAACCACCTTGTTCATAGCAAGTAGTTTTACACGGATGTGCAGTGTAGAGGTGGGAAGAGTGAGCCTGCTTTATTTTCTACAGGTGAGCTGTAAAGATCAAAGGGCTATGAAGAGCTTTATTGCTGAAGGCCCAGGCTCATGGTCTACAAAAACTAGAGACTGCAGTTTCCACTGATTTTTTGGTGGTTAGCAAGCAGAGCGATTTTGATCCCCATTGTTTCAAGTGTTGAGCACCTTTAAAACTTAAAACAGCACACAGAAACTGTCAAACTGAACAGCTAAAGGAGCCAAACAAAATTAGTCGTTGGCCTGGAATACAAAACAAGACAACCAAAAAATTATACTGATTATAGAACAGGCCTGCCTTGCCTGATCTGCAGTTACTGTTCCTCATTGACCCACTCTGTGATGGAGCTCAAGACCATGTATGATCAGTGCAAGAAATCAAGAGGATATTTAAAAACCAGAATTGTTAGGAAAATAATACAGGATAGGATCTAACATCAGGTTCATTTTCTCTCTAATATTACTTACTTCTGTTAAATGCTTTACATTATACCTGGATGCTAGCAATGTGGTAAAAGAAGAGGATAATACAGGTAAATTAGAACTCTGGGTGCAGATTACATTAAGACTGACCTTTCAGTTGTGCTGTCCCAACAAACTTAATTTCAGATTTTCACAATGGTTAGAGCTAAACTCAGACTCACTTTGTGAAGAGCTCTTCATACAGCTTCAAACCAGAAACAAATGAAGCAGGTAATAGAACAGAACAGTTTCTCTCAGTTCAGCGAAGAAGCACAATCAGAAGTAGTTAAGGCTTATCCTGTAAGTACTCTCATTAACTGATTTGAGATTAGTCAGCTATTCAGCTATCAGATGGCTTAAGTGTCCATTCAGATATATTTAATCAGAGAAATCAAGGGAGGAAAACCAGTGTCAGGGAAGGGGGGTTACATTCAAAGTTGTCTGAGGCATCGACCACTGATGAGAAGCATTCTTCAAGTCTTAATTAAAAAGGGCAGTTGTATCTCTGTAAATATTTATTGCCAGCTACCAGTATAACAATTAGCAAACTAAAATAGTCTGATATTAATTTACTAAAGACTAGCAGTGAAAATGAATACAAATCTACAGAATCCTCTAGATTCAAGCATGCCCTGGGTTCAGCCTCTTCCCCCTTCTCAGTAGCTGGTGCAGTGCTGTGTTTTTGAATTTCAGCCTGGGAACAGCGCTGATGACACTGATGTTTTTAGCTACTGCTCAAATGTTTAGTCTGACCAAGGACTTTCTGAGTCTCATGTTCTGCCAGAGAGGAGAGGAAGCCGGGAGGAAGCAGAGACAGGACACCTGACCCAAACGAGCCAAAGAGGTATTCCATACCACAGCATATCATGCCCAGGATGAGAGTTACCTGGAAAGGCTAGTGCACTGTTCGGTCAGGCTAGGTATTGACAGGTGGTATTGTACTCTCTTCGTTATTTCCCTTATCATTATAATTATTGGTGGTAGCAGCAGTGGTTTGTGTTATACCTTAGTTACTGGGCTGTTCTTATCTCACCCCGTGGGACTTACATTCTTTGGATTCTCCTCCCCATCCCTCTGGGAGCGAGGGGAGATGAAATATGGGGAGCGAGCGAGAGGGCTGCATGGCTGATGTGCAGCCTGGGCTTAAACCACGACAAGGCACAAAAAGAGCACTAAGAAATTACAACAAATATAAACCAATATATTGATATGGTTAAAGAGATCTGGAAAAAGCATTTGGAAGGATGGCATATTGACTAAAGTTCACTGCAGATAAAAATTTGGAGATTTGACAATTCTTGACAGGATGTTGCACTGTATGACAAGATTCAGGTGGCAGGGCTCACTTTGCTAAAATGAATTGTTGTATTGTTTTATTACTTCTGTATTTGGTGAATAATTAATTTTTTTTTTTCATTAAATTTCTATGTGCCATTAGAATCCAGAAAAGATAAGGACATTCTGCCCTCTTGAACTGGCCTTGGATATATACTATTCCTATGATAATTGCTTTCTCCTTGGTTTTGTCCTTAATAAATATTTTGAAACAGAGATCCTGAAAATAAATGTTGTGCTAACACCACCTATAAGTAATCTGTCCAACATATTTTATCAGGAAAAAAAAGGCCACATCGCTTCTTTCACTATTCGTTTTCTTCATATAAAATAGGTTTTTTTGCAGTATTACTTATAACACTACTGAAAACTCTTGGTAGCATGTAACTGGAGTAATTTACAGGTCAGCAATCTATTAGGATATCTGACAATCCAAAAATAATACAGAGAGGAAACTACACAGAAAGTAAATACTTCTTTCAACCAGAGCTCATGTGATAAAATATTATAATTTACATCACACTATCAGGTTTCATTTTTGTTTCCAGTTGCAATTTTTAACCAGCCAGTAGGTCATGTTGATCACTCATATTTATTTATTTATTTGTTTCTCATTTAAAAGAAAGAAAACTCAGAGATTAAATTGTCAACAATTCTAAAATGCTTACAGCAAAAAAACATTTTCAGATAAACTGAAAGGAATAATTCACTTTTTCAAGTGAATTACCTTTGCATTACCTTCCAAAGTTCAGATGAAATAAAAAATGAATCGATTTAATTTCATTAGGGAGTGGGAAAAATAAAAAGAAATTTAATTTGAGAGGTGTCAATGCTAAGAAGTGACACTCTTCTGCTGTCAAAAACAGCAGAACTAATTACCAAAAAAGCTAAAATTATTCATCACTTATTCTTGCTTCCACATCATTGCCTCACATTTTAATATTGTAAATAGAAAATTTTCTGTGTAACAAAAAAAAAAACAGACGGTTAAAACAAATTATAACTTTCAAATACCTTTGTATTTGCTCTTCCATTATGTATCCATCCACTGAATTTCAACTTCACCTACAGATTGAAACCCTTACTTACTTTCCTATTAAAATATTATCTAATTTGAATTCCCAGTGTTGTGGACAGCAAACACAGTATCATACCTGTGAACAGATGAAGGTTACTGATGCTTTGTGATTGCCTCTTCCAAGGGCAGACGGACAGAATTGCACAGGTACTTCAGTGGTGGAATGAGGAGCAACAATCACCTGTACAAGCACAAGAAAGAAGCAAAGGAAAGAATGGGCAAATAAATCAATGTTTTGTTTGGTTTTTTTTTCATCTGTTTCTCTTTTGTGCTTTGTATCAACACTGCTGATGCTTATGTGATTAATGTGTTCCACCAGATGAATTCTCTCCTCACAGCAAGCACAGGCTGCTACGGCAGCAAATGCACTGCAGTAAACAATCCTAGTGGCAGTCACTGCACGTTCATTCCCCAGAAACTACAGAGCTGGTGTTACAGATTGCTCCAAGGACATGGACAGTGGCTCACACCAATTCTGTTCAAACATGACTTTGGTGTCTGATCATATTGATGATACTGAAAGGTTATCACATTGACCTCCAGAGACAGAAATTGGCTTATAAGGGAAATACATGGCAGGTTTTAATAAAGTAGTGTTTTGTCTCTCTTCTGCTTACCTTTATCTAAAATAACATTATAAATGATGTTGTTAGGTTTCTCTTCATGTGAAGTATACTGCTTGAATCTCAATTGCACAGGGAAAGGTACGGTATCTGATTACAATGGGGTCATAAAAGTTTTTAAGAACTAGATAAGCAATGAAAGAATAGAATTAAAAATATTAAAAATGCCAATGCATCAGGAGAATTATTCAGTACAATCACTGAATACGCAATCACATGTCTGTTTCAATTAAAGAAAAATGTACTAGGTTTTTAATATCATACATGTCTAAATAATGTTTGCATGTAAGAAGATTTATTGGAATTATGGACGCTTGAGCTGTATTTTATAAAATTAATCTAATTTGCAGTTAATAAAGGTCAAAACAACACCCTACAACAGCTGGCACTGACAAGCCCTTCTATAAAGGAAATGTCAGCACTGGAAGAACAGGCTGCTAACAGGCACCAAACACAAGTTATTAAAACATTAATTTTTGTTTACTATGTTTAATAGTTGCAAGATGCTTGACTGCACCAATAAGCCCTATGACCTCTTTCTACCCTGGGGTTTTAATTGCCTTTGCTCTGATACAGTACTTGCCTTGCAGCTAAGGAAGGCTTGAGCTTATGGCACACCGAGGCAGAGACCTCCACCTGTAGCCCTTTCCTATCCCACCCAGAAACAGCAAGCAGAGCCATGACAATGATAGGTATGAGGCCCCAGTGCAGCACCAGGACCACTGGTGATGGCCACAGTGCTGAGAACATACTGCAGGCCCCAGAGAGTGAATCAGCGACAGAGGTGGCCGCTCCCATCTCAGGGCAGAGGCCCCTGGTGAGGCTTATGTTGCTTTTCTTCTCTGCCATTTCAGAGCTGGGCCTGGGCAAAGGCCACAGGTGTCCTGGTCCTTACAGTCATCTTTAGGGTGTGTCTATAGGATATTAGCATGATTACAGACTGAGATGCTAATGTGCCTTGAACAACAGATATTCCTACTGATGGCATCAGGAGCTACACTGAGCAGTAGAGAGGACAGAGCTCAGGTGTGGTCAACCAATGCACAAAACTTGAAAAGTTATTTTTCTCTCTTGAGGGGGAAGGTTTTAAAACAATTTATCAAAATATTGCCATAACAGTTTATTGCAGACATTAGGTGCCTTGTCTATTACAGGGGGGTGGAACTGTATTTTTTTAACCTTTAAAAATTTCATTTTACAGTTTCCACTGCATGATAAAAACATTTCTGGAAGGGAAAGTAGGTGGGTCTCACACACAGCATGTAGCTCACTGCTTAGGGCCCACTCCCACTTGGCTGTTAGAGCACTTGCACCTCCCACACGGGGAGCACAGCACTGCTGTGTCACCCACACTTCACAATCTCATATGTTCTGTAGGTGAGTGATACCTTGAAGGCGTATTTGCCACCAGCAGTCAGCTGCCACCATCCGACACTCACCACCTTTGCACGGCTTCTGTATTAATCAGAATAACATACCTGAGGGAGAGTCACCTCCCACAAACCACCTCCACCCCCATCTGCCCCACTGCCCAGAGTTCATTTAGCTGTTCACCATCTAAAATGAGCCTGAACAGCTCATTTCTCTTTGAGTTCCTGGGCATGCTCAGTATCCAGAGACCTTTTTTTGAGATTCTGTACTTCATCTGCAGCTTAGTTTCTGCTTACTGTGTCCAAACAGATCAGCCCATTTATCAAATGAAGGCTTACAAATGGAGAAATAACCTTAATAAATGCCCCCTCCCAAATACTTTTGAAGGAAATGAAAAAGCAGTTGTCACAGCATAAGAATATATGATTAAAGTAAAACTACAGTTTTTAAACTTTTAGTAATTTCACTAGGAGATCTACATTCTTTGGAAAAATAACTCTCCAATAAAGACAAAAACTGACTGGAAATCCATTTTCAATAAGCATTACTTGGCATATTATCATTGCACAGAAAATGCACTGCCATAATGAATCTAAATAATCAATATGGAGTTATGATAATCCAGCAGACTGCCCAGTCTGAAAGCAGAAAAGAGTTTTATTTTTTACATTATAGACCTGTTTTAAACATTTTATATTACACAGTATGCTCTTTTACCATGTCCAGAAAATGATTTGGTTTAAATAAAAAGATGGGTAAAAAATATAACTTATTTTCTACTGAAAAGCAAAGAATAAATTGCTTTTTAAAATAGACTTGAGAAATAACACTAATAACATATTTAAAGAAGGTCATACTTTGCTGCAGTCATTCAATAACATAATCTGGACGTAACCCATCCCCTTCCTTTCTTTTTACTTTATGTAAACAAGTGTCTTCTAAGATACTCATGTGTAAGGAAGCTGGTATCATTGCTTTTTATAAGGTATCAGAGATAACTGTTCAAATACGGAAACTGAGTCTGGAGAAGGCTGAGCAACTACACATGTCTTATTCCTGTTACAAATCCAATAAAGGCAGAAAGCTTTTAATGAAATTTAGAAGTTTATTCTCTACTCTGTACAAAAAATAATTACTCATGGTCATTATAAAAATAAAGTTTCTACACAGAGACTTTGAGATTGCGCTCCTCTCTGCCAGCCCTTCTTTCTTAATCTAGTTTTCTTTAATAAAAATTGTGGTTTGTAATAATTGGGATGGAATACAGCTTCATGAAAAAGGTTTAGGCTAGTTTATAGCCTGCCTTATAGCCAGGAGAATAGCAAGCTGAAGACTTACAGTGAAAGCATGTTTTTTTGGCAATATAGATGATCCCATTTGCAATAAGTTTTTGTACATTTAAGTTACATCATAAATATATATTCATATAATACACATACATGTGAAATCTGCCCATGTATTTATATAGTGGGAAAGAAATAAGTTGGGGAACATAGCATTACTGATGATTTGACAATTTTCATCTTTTAAATGCTGAACACAAATCACTCCTTTCAAGAGATAAAGCAAGCTGTGGTTAGGAAAACACCACAAAATTCAACACTCTGATGACTGTTCTCCCAGAAACTCACGCTTCTTACTATAATAATGAAAGGCAAGGGAGGAATTTTTAAGTAAATTTATGGGAGTTCACTTCTACTCCAACTTCTAGAGATTTTGGCAGAATTTACAAGGATGTTAAGTTAACCCATACAGCATAAGACCGACAAGAAGGGGAAAAAAATTAGGCATAGCCTGCTAATAAACACGTAAATAAATAAATGTTACGGAAATCCAACTCACATTAAATGAAATCCTTGAAAACTTCAAATTCTTGAAAGAAAACCAAAATGTTATATTCCATTTAAAGCTTGTTTAAGCTACAACTACAAAGCCACTTATAAGAAACCTATACTTTTCTCATTTTCATCAATTTACAAATAAGTTAATGGAGCTGCTTCTAATATAGATAAAACTGACAAGAGATCTTTAAAAACTTTGAATATAATTTAGATTTCATTAAGCAACCAGAAGTTCAGGAATACTTGAGCATAATTCAACTGGACCTCAGGAAAGCTTATTATTAATGATGTCAGTACTTGAAGTTGAATCAGATCTATAGAAATACCTTGTGGTATTTCAGTAATGCCTTCTGTTGCAAACTCAAACTGCAACAAACTTTCACACACATGGAATAAATACAATATTAAATTTGTTTACATTCTAAAATATTAGACAAAATTTTAGTTAATATTTAGGCAACTAATTTGTAGGAAACAAACTGCGTAACATTTTCTCTTCTATCTGGTGAATCTGGTTTATCTAACAGAACTTAGTAACAGATGAAATCATTTGAGATAATTTCTGACTGACAGCCCAATATCTTCATCAGTTTTACATCTTAGATGACATAAACCCAAATATGGATAATTATATGACATAGTAAAAATACTGATTTAGAATACGCAGAATTCTAGAATCATTCATTCTCTTCAAACATTACTTATCTTAACCGGACAAATTCATCATCAACCTGTTGTTCTAATAATTTGCTCTTTATTGCTGTATTTCAACCAAGCATCACTAAAATCAGAAATTTTCTGCTAAGAAGAAAGAATTATTTGCTATAAAGAGAGCAGAAACTTGAATAATTAAGATGGGAAAATGCTTCCACACAACACAAAGACACTGAACCAGGCAATATAAACTAATATATTTAGTTTATATTAGTCAACACATTACAGTTTATAAAAACAAGCAGTAATCTCTGGAAGATGAACGCAGTGCTGTATGGAAGGACTAAACCTAGGATGCAACATATTCAGGAGAAGCAGCAAGTATTTAAATGGCATCTCCTGCCTTTGTGATCAAAACTATGAAGGAAATGATGCTACCTCTTCAAACATGGGTCTGCAATGGAAGAAACAAGTTCAAAAAGGAACAGAGAGATTAAATAAATATTAGGTAGTTGCTTATAGAAAATTCACCAAAACTATCCTTTCACTGGAAGAACTACTGTAATTCACAGTGAAATTTCAGAATTCAATGCATGATTAACATAGATTGCATCCATTATGTTTCTTTTCTCCTATTCAAATGCCATTATTAGTAATAGCACTTGGTGAGTTTTAATATAAAAAGTGTTAATATGCATGACATAAAAGACAGACTAAACCACTTCACAGTTTATAGTGAATTTGGTATACCATGTATGCAAAATACAGGGCAGTTTAATTCAGTTGTTATCTTTAGAGTGCCTGTTAAGAAAATTTGGTTTTGTTGTAATGCTATGTTTGAGGCTGAAAGCTGTTTAGTTTGAGAAAGCAAAAAATACACATATTATAGCTTTGTATCATTCCTCTATTTTCCCAATACAATCTATTTTCTACCTTCTCAACTTTATTTTAGGATCTGATTACAATATACCTGTCCTCTCCCTCTGACCCTTATGCTAGTTTGCTCAAATAGAATCATAGATCCATCAAGTAGTTTGGGTTGGAAGGGACACACCAGCCCCAGTGTATGTCTTTCCTGTATTATCTTCCTAATGTCTAGAAAGGTGCAATTGCCATTTATTTCCTGTCTGCAACAGGTTTCTTCATTTTCTTTTTTCACATTAAAGGTTCTATATTCACATTCTAGTAAGAGGTCCCTCGATCCCTTGCACCACATTTTCCATGCATCTGTCCCCTTTTTTCTCATCTCCCCACCATAAAAAGGACACATTTAAGGGCATTAATTGTTAATAACATCCAAAGAGTTCTTCATAGGACCTGTACTATGAACTAGTAATCAATTGTCAATAAAAGATATTTTTCAGAATCTTGACCATCTAGAACTCTAGCCAATCTCAATAAAAACCTGAAAGCTGAGCCTATCTATATTATTCTCAGTCCTTGAAAGGACAAGAACTTTAGGCAGGAAGATGGAAGGGCTTCTGTGATGGAGAAGGAAAACATTGTGTAATAATAATAATAGGATGATGATTTTCTCAGTAAAATTCAATCCTAGGGTAAATATGAGTTTGGGGAATAACATTATTCCAGGTATTTGCTTGAAGCTTGTGGCTAAACTAATAAAATTCTTATGAAGTTCTGCAAGTTTGTTATAACTGCCATGACTTAAATTCTTACTAAAATTTTATCTACTTATCCTTAATATTTACGGGCTTATCCTGTTGATTCTTAGAAACTTGTGAAACTTCTAGTACAGCTGATTTGTTTGCAACTTCTAATATCGCCTGAATATGATTTGCAACCAATGCTGCAGTCCTTCTCAAAACCATTCCACAAAGCATTTGAGGAAAATACATCCATACTTCAGCTTGCATTGTTTTTTCAAATTTAACTGTTTTCATCCTTAAGCTAGAAAAATCTTTAGAATACACACTTATAATGCCTCCAATCCTTGAGACTATGTTGTGTATTCTGAACCCACAGTATGACACACAATTCAATGTGTTTTGGAAAGAAGGCTCTCTTCTATCACTTAGGTGAAAGCACAGAAATCTTACTTACAGGGTGTTTTGGATCAGCCTCAATTGAAAAATTGCTAGGATTGCTGTTAACAAATTCTAGCTCCAGAGTTTCTTCAGTAGGATTAAAGAGAGGTATGTATAGACGAGAACATCTGGAAAAAATACATATATGCAATGACCATTAATTACAAAGCTTCTTCCATCACATTTTATTATTCATCACATTTTCTTTCTTGAAAAATGAGTACTTTTTTTAAAAAAAGTTATGCTTCATTATATAAATAATAATTTATGTATCAGTATTTTTCTACTAGTATGGATGCATATTTAATAGCATTAATTAATATTATTAATTGTTACTAAAAACAATATAAATGATAGCAATAACTATTCTAAATACTTGAGTCAGTTGTAAGGGCAGAATTTTTTTGGTGGACTTCAGTTGCCTGGAAGTTAAATCTGGCTAAAAGGACTGCCTAGCTCCCTCAGTACTCAAGAAGAAGAAAAACAATTTCAGGGAGAACTGATCCTAATGTAGGTCACCAAGATGTGGAATCACTTTTCACAGTCTGCAGAAGGAGCCTAGTCTGAATGCCTTAAACTTGATGCCTAACTTCTATATGGTAGAAATGAATCCTAGTGTAATCAGCACCACAGCTTCACATTTATTCCTAGGCTCCAATCTGCAGATCCATGTTTTGCCTTTTTTCCTTACTTTCTGTAGATCAGGAAAAGCACTGGAGAGAAATTATAAGGTAATCAGATAAATGATATCTGCAACTCCTTTTTGTCTAAGCAACGGTTTACAGGAAAATCTTGTAATTAAGTGGTGGTGCAAATAGCTTCTCATTTAGTGCCACTAGGCATGCATTCTTCTCGATAACTTTGTAACCTTGAGATCTCAAATCAAACTTAGTGTTTCACACCAGTCATTTCAATGGAGGCTCCTCCTGTTTCCCTCTTTCTTCCTCTGAATGGACTCAAAATCTGTTTCATTTTGTACAGTTGTTACATTATTCATTACAGCATAATGGAAAATCATTATGTTGAACGTGTAGATTATGTATTTTACTCTGTCTGTCCCAGGACAAAGATTAGAGTATGCTTATTGTCTAACTGTCATGCTTTACATCTGTTGGCACTCTGACAGACTGCCCTTCTTTATTTTCTAATTAAAGAATAAACAAACCCAAGATACCTTCAATAGGGAGCACAGTTTTTAAGAGAATTTGTAGGACTCCCCCAAATTCCTCTATTCTGATCAAAATGATATATTATTTGTCCTTAAAAGAAGATTTATGACTGTAAATCACATTCTCATTATAACAGTAAGAGACACAGAAAAGATATTAAAGGTGAATCAGCGAAAACAGCAAATAAGAAAAGTTTGAAAAATACAACACATATATTGGGTTTGCAGTAAGTTATCTATCTAATGGATATTCCCTCTAGGGAAAGGTGTGGCAGGCCAACTGCCAGATTTCTCCACATATTTATCCTCCGGAAAACGTTACTCAGTTAATCATAGCTAAATCAGTAAGAAAAAAGAACACATAAAAAGCAACATTCAGAAGAGAAGTTTTTCCACTCAGGCTTTATGATCATAACTTCAGGCACTAAAACTTGCATGAAGGGGGCTCCTTCCAGAATATAAATCCCCAGGAGCTGAGTGACAGACTTGTTTCTGCCTAATGCTATGAAAGCATTGTATCAGTGAAGTATCTAAAGTAGAGAGTATAGAAATACTAGTTCAGTATTAGTTCAGAAAGAGAAAAGAAACAAAAAATTATAACAAACCTACAGAACTCTATTATGTTCTGCAGTATTTTCATAGTGGTTTCTATATAAAGACTTCAGATGATATCTATGTATACACTACTATTCTATTTATGCAGCTCTATCTATACATATATCCATAAAAATCATCTGCAAACTACTACAGTAAACATACAACACTATTCTGGCTAGTTGATGTAAACTCTTCATATGTTTTCGATGACACTTTAAAACACTAAGTCCAGCATTATGAACTACATACTTACTTTCCAAGTTCACATTGTATTTCAGGTATATTAGTTGGCAACGGTTTCTCTACAGTCAACTTCAGCGCATACCAGAACTCTTCAATCATGTCTGACAGGAATATGACACTAAAACCAGATACATAAGCTTAATATAATACAACCTTTGTGCAGACAATTAAAAATGTATGGGTTAAAAATCAGTTTAACACATGTTCTTTAATTAGTGACCAGCTTTCCCATAACACTTCTCACTGCTATCTGAATTCAGTTACCAAAACTAATACTATTTACAATTATTGATGCAGCAAAATCTCATCATCTTTCTTAACTTTTTAGCATTAAAAGTTGTGTGTTGTTTGTTTTGGAAACTTTTTTTGTATTTTAGGGACAGTAAAAACTACAACTCAAAAGCATTTCAACTGCTGACTTACAAGAGTAAGATGTAATTTCGTTTCAGTGTCACAGTATGTTCTTTCTATCTATTTTGAGCTCATAGCACACAGGAACAGAAATAGCATTCACTGATTTTTATAAGGAAAATCTTTTAAAATCTACTGATGAAACTGGGATAGACATAGACACATTTATATGAGCATGGCAAAGAGGTATGCTTTAAAAAAATATTCAATATACTGTTTTTATTCAATCAAATGTTGTCATGACTGAAAACTGCTTGCTACTAGGTGAGATATGTACAGCAGTATATTTCTGTGATGAACATTCTAACACAGTCCTTTGCTATTGTGGATTTGCAGTGTGCAAACCCATGACCCACTAAGGACCAGTTCTTGTTCTAAATGATAGATAACTACGTCTGTTCCATGACTTTATGGGTCCAGACTAACAGAGTCTTTAAAGTGAGCATAAAAACAGCTTTGGAAAGAATGATCCATTTGAAAAGATACACCTGCCACAAACATTTTTATAACACTTTTTCCCATCTGCTACCATAGAAAAGGAAACAGAGCATGGCTTCAAAAAAAAAAGATGATAGCCTGGATGTAATGTGGAAGTACCTCTGCCCAGCTGTAATTGTAGTACAGTATTGCATAATTGTATTCACATGTACAGGTGTGCTTTATGTCATCTTTGCATATATTCCTCTATGTCCCGGCCCACCAATCAGCCCAAAAGTTTGCCAGTTATTTTATTATTTGAAAATTCTGCACTTGAAAGATACCAGAAATATTATCAGGTATAAAAAAAATTTAGGTCTCTCTTCATTTGCAGAATGTATAGTCCCTACAAATTCCCACAGAAAAAAAATATTTACTGCAGTGGTAACAGTACTCATTTTTAGAAAACAGTATCACTTGAAAGCTGTATTGTACAATGACACCTGGAATTATTCTGGTCTTTGTAAAAATCAGTACAAGCAAATTGAACAGAACTTTGAAACACATGGATCTTGGCTTTGTAAATATTGTGTCTTTGAACACAAGTCATCTGTTTCTGCCCTTCATACCACCCTGCCCTCTTCCCCATCCCCACACTTTTGCCATTGAATTGATACCACTGAAAGACAGGGAATCGTTTTCCTCAATTAAGTAATGCTCTGCTAACCAAATTCCAGGAAAATAAGCTTTGCACTTTTTCACTCTTCACTAACTTGCTGAACTGGTTTAGATGAAACTAAGACCAAGATGTCATCTGTATATATACTGCTAATTACCATACCTGCACAGTTCTGTTGGCATTCCTAATGTAATTAAAATATTGTTAATTAAAAACTTCTCCATATTCATTTCCTAGATCATTGTCATTTAATGGAAGATTCTGAAGCTAAATGGATTTATGTGAAGATTGTTAAAGGGCTCTTCACCTGGCTTTAGTTAAGTTGTTATAGTTTTGCTTATACAAAGAACTAAAAATAAAATCGTGTTATTTCCTTGACAGGACTTTGAAATTTAGAAAACAAACAATTCATCTGAATTTTTCAGAGGGGCCAGCCTTCTAATTGTAAATAAATTTCTAAAACACTGTTCACAGAATCAATGCAAACTAGAAGAACTAGGGGTTATTCTACTGTCTGCCAGTTGAGTTTTTGCCCTCAGAGGAAAGATGCTGTATGGGATATAATGTATTTAAAGTTGAATTTTTTATATAAAATCCATTTATAACCTTTTTCTTTTTGGGTTTTGGGAGTTATTTTAGGACAGTATCCACGTCCAGTAACTGATGTTTCAACGAAAGTAGTTCACTTATATTAGTACAAGAGCCACAACCACAAGCATGAAAGCTCTACAACCTACCTTTCATCTGAAGTGCCAACAGTGACTGGGGAAAACTGCAGCTCATACAAAAATGCTTGTCTGGGACTAAGAATGAAAGATTTTTGTCCACAAAGTAACTGATTCTCCAGCACCACATCCAGCTTAAGAATTTTATCTGAGGGATTAGTGATGGGAATATGAATTCCAACAGTATCCTAGAGCAAAAAAAAAAATAAAATATGAACACATAAAAGATCTTTCTCAAAGAAGTGTAAGATGCTTACTTATGAATTACACCTATGTGAACACACAAGGCTGCATCTTTGATGTGTAACTCAAAAGAGAGAAGCTGCAGCAAGAGACATTTCAGACAATCTTCAAATTGAAAAGTAGGTAATTCATAGAATCATAGAACAGTTAGGGTTGGAAAAGACCTTAAGATCATCTAGTTCCAACCCTCCCACCATGATCAGGGACACCTCACACTAAACCATGTCACCCAAGGCTCTGTCCAACCTGGCCTTGAACACCACCAGGGATGGAGCATTCACAACTTCCCTGGGCAACCCATTCTAGTGCTTCACCACCAGTACAGTAAAGAACTTCTTCCTTATACCCAACCTAAACTTCCCCCTTCAAGTTTTAACCCATTACCCCTTGACTACAGTCCCTAATGAATACTCCATCCCCAGCATCCTTGTAGGCCCCCTTTCAGATACTGGAAGGCTGCTATGAGGTCTCTACACAGCCTTCTCTTCTCTAGGCTGAACAGCCTCAACTTTCTCAGCCTATCTTCATACAGGAGGTGCTCCAGTCCCCTGACCATCCTTGTGGCATGCCTCTGGACTTGTTCCAACAGTTCCATGTCCTTTTTATGTTGAGGACACCAGAACTGCACACAATACTCCAAGTGAGGTCTCATGAGAGCAGAGGGGCAGGATCACCTCCTTCGACCTGCTGGTCATGCTCCTTTTGGCACAGCCCAGGATACAAATTCCATATATAAGGAAACAGAATTCCATAAGCAAGGAAACACTCAAGTCTTCCTGGGCAGTCTACATTCTAATAAGCTAGTTCACCTGCCAAGATATGGCTGAGGCTTGACATAAAACACCTTACCTACAGATCTGCTATAGTCCCAGCCAGGTAAACCCTCCCAAGGCATCTCTCAGCGGCCAAACACAGACTGCTGAAAAATTCCACTTTGCAAGCTGTCAGACGATTCAGGCCAAGTTCTACAGGTTCTGTTCATCTTCATTTTTAAGTTACATCATACTATTTGACATTAAAACAACACCACCACAACAAACATTCCTTCTCTCATGCCTTTATGCCATTTCTCTTACTACTGGTCTCCATAACTTTTTTGTTTAAAGTCTAGAACATTTCAGACAAGGACAACCTTTTCTTGACCACTAGAAAACATGGCTACTACTAAAGACACATATTAAATTTCAGCTACTATAATAAAAAGAAGCCAAACGATGGCTTAATTAGATAAATATGTATACTTTACACATGGAACACCTTTAAGATGAGCAGGAGCTGGGCAGAGGTGGCTCACTCTGAACAGCTCCTATAGTGCATTCTTGAGCAGCCCTCAAAACGCAGTTATTTTCCAGCAGGGTTACATCAACCATCAAAGTAACCTTTGCAAACTTGTACACAAAGGAGATTTTATATTGCCAACATTAGCTTAATATTTTTCCCCTGCCAGTATAAAATAAATGCCTAGGATTACATATTTCCCTGGAATTTCTCAAGAAATTTCCCAGGAATTGCTATAGTTTTCAAAGACCTGCTACTTCACAGATGGCAGTAAGAGTACATACATATTTATCAACACAATGTAGATATATTGTACATTTCTTACATCCTTAATGGATTGTTAGCACAGTACTAGGACAAATAACAAAATGCCCATGCAATGATTAAAAGCATTATTTTTCCTGAAGCCACCATTTTACCATAAAGAATGCATAGGTTTCACACCATAGCCAAGTTCCACACAAATTTATACTCATTAATTTTGATTTACATCTCAGCATTGTGATTTTTACAAACATTTTTACAAAGGAAAAATATAAAAGCTGGAAAAAGAAGAGAATTAATCTCATTCCTCAAACTTCTTATGTAAAGAGTGCCAGTGCCCAAGAAAGAGCCATTCTGGTGCAGTATGTCATGGTTTTATTTCTTTAGAATTTGCTGTGATCCGCTTGTCCACTGCAGATGTTTCTTTTAAAATAAACTTACATAAGGTAAAATAAAATGAAATAATAAAATAAATATAAATCTGAAGGAATAGTCTCTGTAGGATTTATCTGGTTCTGTGCCTCACTGTGATTTAAAAGGTCAGATGAACTGTAAAAAGAAAACATCCTCATTTTGTTGTTCCAAGAAAAGTTAACTTTTAAGTCAATGAAATTTGCCCACAAATTACTGTCTCACATAAAACAGCTGTTGCATTATTAATTTTTCTTCCTGTGTCATACTAGAGGTATCTGTATTAGAAATCTGTCCCACACATTCCTTCAGTATTTTCTCTGAAAAAGTAATGCAAGTTAACTATATCACAAGCAATGTTTATTAATAATATTAGCATAATGTATATATTATTGACTGATATGTGTTACTAGAACCTCTGAAAGAGCTAAAATCAGAGCAGACTGAACCAAGGCCACACTTGCACTTCTCTGGTTTCTCTATGCAATCCAACTAGTTCTGCTGTTACCCAGAAAGCAGCCTCTCCCAGTGTATGAGAAAGATGCAGAAGTCTTTATTAGAGAACCATGGACTTATGAATAAGAATATAAAGCTCTTTAAATACTGATCTCTCCATATTCCTGTGGGCTCAGTTTTGAGTACCTGGCAGATCTTCTTCTGAGGGAAAGGACTTTTATCACAGCCACCTGAAATACACTTTTTTTGGCGTATCCATTTGTCTGGACACGAGACATTATTTCACCCTATATTTTTTATAAAGGGTATCCTACTGAGATTTAGATTTTAAAACTTGTGTAAATATCAGTGAAGTGTTTCTCAGTTGTTACATTCATCCTACAGTCACCATCTGCTGTGTATGGGTCACATAAAACAGACTGTTGCATTAATTTTTCTGGAGACTGCCAAAAACTGGGAGTTTCAAAGTCTGGAAAGAGCCAGAAGCAGTAATGGAAACACCCTGCCTATTCTTAGATCTGCATGTAAACATCTTGCTAAGCATGAAGACTCTGACAGTGATCTTTTGAAATTACCACTGAAGAGCACAGCAGCAGTTCATTAGTGGTACAGATCTGTGAACCATTACAAATGACAACAGTGACACAAGTTTCAGCTCAGCAAGAACAACTCTCGTGGAAGTGGGGGTGGGCAGCATATGTTTCAGAGTTACATTACCAACTTCTGAGTATGCAATGTGGTTCTCAGGGACTTGAGAGAGAGAAAAAGATTTGGCAGAGAATAGACAAAACCATTGTCTCCTCACTTGTGTGGAAACCAAAATAAATCCCTTCAAGGCATTTGACTTTATTAAAGCAGAAACTAATAATTCACTGTTCAAAATAGACCTTCCCCTCTGGCTTATCTTCTGCTGTACAGATCCTGCTTGGAACTCACATATTAGTTACTTCCTCTCAAAACAGCCAATACTATTTTTCAAATATATGGATGGATTAGAAAGTCTCTTGACTCAGTGAACCAGCAATATACACTTAGATGATATTTTTTTCCATGAAAGAGACAACTGCTAAAGAGTAAGTGTGCTCAAAGCAGTAAATGACAGCCTTTAAACATTTTACATAAAAACTTAAAAATTGGCTTGCTTCTTGACCTCTACATACAACCTGAAGGCAAAGTAACTGTTACTGTCCATTTTTCTAAACAATCTAAGATAATGAACCTGAATTTAGCAGCTTAAGTTCACCTTCTGTACTACTGTTGCCCACTGAAAAATCCACAGTACACACCAAAGTAAAATTCAGTAACCAAACCCTATTTTTTTTAAGTGTAAATTGTTACAATGTTGTCAATGTCTGAAGTTACTTAATAATTATCTATTGGTAACATTAAAAAATATGGGGTTTTACTCTGCATTTAGAACTAAAAATACCTGCAAACATACAAATGACTTGTAATAACCAAATGTTACTTAGCTAATGGATAATGAATATTCATGAACAAAATTTTCTTTGGCTTTTGAAGATTCCTGTTTTCTCAGGTGGTTCCTTTGAACTGCGAAAATTCTTTGTAATGTATCCTTTCTAAATTCCAGATAAATATATCAATGAATAACTACTGAATTTTCTAATATTTCAGCTACAATGATTTTGATATACCTTTATACCAGGTATGGAACTCAAGCAGAAAATTCATCTAAAAAATGCTGAGAAACAACCTTCAGAGAGTAACAGACACTGGTAACTCCTTTCTAGTGAGGATGATGACTAACCCAGTGCCAGAGATATGTTCATATTGTCACAATTAAATAGTCATTCCTTACTCCAGTTCACATAGATGAGGAAAGATCTGGATTCCTTTTTCAATTGCTCAAACTATCTAAAATTGGTAGGGTTTTATCCTAAAGTAAAAATTTCAACTAAAATTGTATAACTTAAAGCAAGCTTTTCCTGAGTTAATGGCATTTTACAAACTTCAACACAGCATCTGCTTTCAAAACAAATTCATAATAACTAATTTTATGCATTTGAAGTTCCTAATTCAGATACTGTTCAAGAATTTTTGTGGATAAACTTGATCACTGGAATAATGGCATTTAATTATTATTTGCTGTTTCAGAAGCTGTGCATACTATCCATAGAAATCTGGTCGAAAAGACCAGGTAACTGCTTCGACACACGTTCTAGAGATGCACAACTATAAATTAGTATTTTAATTGCACCCCAGCATTTTTAAACAGCATTCTGATCTTGGCAACACAGCAATATTCTTTTGGACAAACAGGGAAACATTTTGAGAGCAGTAGTACCCCTGTCAAATTAGTCTTAAGTAAAGGATACAACTTCCTGTTATATAGATGGACAAACTTCATAAGAATGGGATGAATAATAAAGATCCCTTCTTCCTTCTTATTCATATTACACAAGGAAAACACTGAGTTCTCACTACTCACTAATTCACATTAATCAGTGAAGGGAAAAGGAGTGATAGTGCCACCAACTCAGAAAAATGCCAGGATAGATTTAAGGTTATACTTCTG